AGGTCTTGGCCATACCTTCAGGTGGGTGGCACCAGCATTGCCTACAGATTTCCTAACTGATTAGGAGATCACCAATGGGGAACGTCTTACTTATAGGTTCCCCACCCAACAAGGAGGGGTCAGGGATTGCTTAAAATCGCAAGACCATTCCTCAAACCTTTGGTGTCTCTCTCTCCTTCCCCTTTTGAGAGGCTCCCCACCTCTTGGCTTTCTCTCCGGAGGTGCTTCCCCTTCCCTTTTCCTTCATTGCTCATCTCGTCCCTTCACAAATAAACTTTTCTGTCTGCAGCAGAAAAGTTTTCTTTTTATATTAATCTGAGGAAAGAACCCACCAGGCATTTCTGGTAACAGAACAAATGGACTTAATTGATATTTACAGAACCTTTCATCTAATGGACACTGAATATACATTTTTTTCATCTTTACATGGAACCTTCTCCAGCATAGACCATATTATAAGTCATAAAACAAGTCTCTGCAATTTAAAAAATTTGAAATCATTCCATGTATCTTCTCAGACCACCACCACATTACTAGAAACCAGTAAATTAAATCCCCCAACAAATTTGTAAACACTTGGAAGCTGAACAACATGCTACTGAATGAACAATGGATTAGAGAAGAAATCAAAGAAGAAATTATATAATCTTATTTGTTAATTCAAAATTCTACTATATTACAAGAATACACAATAGGATATTCAGCAGCTGGACCAGGCATGGTAGCCTAGCGGCTAATGTCCTTGTCTTGAACATGCAGAGATCCCAAATGGGCACTAGTTCTATTCCTGGCAGCCCCGTTTCCCGTTCAGCTCCCTGCTTGTGGCCTGGGGAAGCAGTCGAGGACGGCTCAAAGCCTTGGGACCCTGCACCCGCGTGGAAGACCTGGAGGCGGCTCTGGCTCCTGGCTTTGGTAGCTCCAGCCATTTGGGCCACTTGGGGAATGAATTAATGGACAGAAGATCTTTCTCTCAGTCTCTCCTCCTGTGTGTATATCTGATTTTGCAATAAAAATAATTTTTTTAAAAAGTATGTTCAGCTGCAAGAGGTGAAAGGCAGTCTCCTAATTTTGTAATTAAGAGTTTGATAGTTTTGGGGTTTATGTCCATTCAGTAAAATAAAATAAAAAAAAGCAATAAGTGCAAAATATTTTTTAAACTGAATGAAAAATGTCCTTCATACAACTTGTATATCAAAACAGCTCCTTGCCTGTCCCTGGTTCCTCTTAGTGCCAGCACGTGCAAACTGTTACACACACATTCAAAATGTGCATTGTATTATGTCTTTATAGTAGTGACAGCTTGGCATTACTTATCTTTAACATATGTAGTTGGAGCCAAATTTATTTATAAAAAGAGAATTGTTTTATAGATGGTGAAGATGAAACTTACTGATCTAAACAAGAAGTTTAGTCCCTGGAGATGGGAAGAACAGAGCTGCATGAAGACTCATCATGACTTCATAACCACAGTCTTGATCATGCTCTTACAGAACCCTTGCTGCAATACAGTCTTCCAGTTTATGCTTTATTATCATTCTAGTGTTCCAATGATCAGCTGACCATGACTTACATGCTCTTATTTTGAGATGTTTCAGGATCATTTCATGAATTTCTTTCTAAGACAAAGTGTCTGGATTGGTATTAATGTCTCCAAAATAATACTTTGTATTATAACATTGTAGATGCTTTGAATTGACTTTGAAAAGGATTATACCAGTTTAACTGACACTAAAAGCCTATCCTTTCCAAATTGGGGCAATGCTTTTAAAATCACAGTGATAATAATAATGCTGTATATTTCACTCATGTCATAGATTTTGTGCATATTTCTCTCTTAATTTGGATTTCTTTTTGTGTTTGTAATTTATATCATTATATGTTATCCATGTCTATTATCCTTCTGTTTTATTTTCTAAGTGTGAAGGTACTTGATATTTTTCTCAGTTGGAATAATCTGGTGATTAATCATTTCTTGTGTGTATGTGTGACAGTGACCATACATCATGCTGAATTAGCAAAAGGGGTGGCTTTTGTGGTGCAGTGCATTAAGCCACCATCTGGTACAACTTTGTTTCATATTGGAGTACTGGTTTGAGTGCTGGTACTCCATTTTTAAAATTAACTTTATATGAATTTTTAGATGACACATTTTACTTTAGTCAAGCATTTAAACAGCTAATGATTTTTTGAACCAAACACAGAAGCAACTTAACATAATTCAATCAATTTATGAGTAAAAAATGTATTTTAGAACACAAAACAATTATGTAATATTACAAAATAGGTAGTGGTAAAAACTGGAAAGTTTCATTAAAATTTTCTAGTATGGTTCCTCTCCAGCCAGCTTGTGTTCAGAGGTTGGTTACTTGTCTTCCAATCATTGTTTTCTTATATTTAAAATTCCAAAGAAAAGATGACACATGACTGCTTTGGGAGATGTGACGAGAAGAATATGCTGGCTGCAGTCCATCCTAATTCCTGTGCACTATTCTACTTCCTGCCATCTCTGGAGCAGCAGTAACTTAACATTCTGCTAAATGGGAACATGCTGAGGGCAACTGAAGTAAATTTTTAAAATGTATTGTTATTTTTAGTATTGTTAGTAATGCTAAATTTACCTGCCTCCATTCTTCACTCCTTCCTCTTTCCCCCTTCACAACCACATGTGTCTTTATAAAAGTAATCTGTGGGTCTGTGGTCTGAAGTTTTCCTCTTAACATGCTTCACACATGGGTATCCACACCACCTCTTTCCTTCTTATTTAGCACTAGACTTGACATTTATAATTTCTCTCTTTCCTCTTGCTATTCAGCACCTGATCAACACGGGCATTACCAGAAACTTGATGGAGTCATAGAAACTCACATCTAATGGATTAACTATCCATGTTGATTGAGACTGTCTAGTGGTTCTTAATGTTTTAGAAGCTCCATCTTGGGTGTGTCTACTTCCACATTGCTTGAACCTGAACTTTTGGAATCTAGTCTCAGGCTCTTTGCTTTCTCATCTCTAGAGTTGAAGCAGCAGAAGATGCCAGGAAAATAATTTATCATCCAGTTAGCATTCCTGATCTTTTCATAACTGACCCCAATTTAACTTCTAAATTAACCCCTAAATTAACTTCCCAATTTAGTCGTTGGACCGTATGATACCATCCTACCAAGCAGCAATATTGTATATGATGCCAAATTATATGTGTGCCAATTATTTTATTTGGTCACATTCCAGTAATAAATAGTTTGCTGATTTTCCTTGCCTCCTACACTCTACAAATCTATTCCTTCTTACTGTTCCTTCTTTCCTTACTTTATCCTTATTTCTGTATTTACACAGATTATAGGGTATCTTTACATAGAACTACTTAACTCTCAAACTAATACTAATATTTAATAAGATTTACAACTTGTTTCTATTTCTTTCTCAGTAAATGTCTCTCACTAGTGAATGGAATATATCACTGATCTTGATTTAGAAAAACATTCTATCAAATGACTTCTAAAATACGGTTCAGAACTTCTTTGGTCCATTTCTATTGATCTTTTTTATCTACAGCTCCAAATTAGCCATAATTTTTTGAAGAGAAATTTGAGGAATACTGTTAAAATTAATGTCAATAAGTTGCATAAAGAGATCCTAGTCAAGGTCTTGGTAAATATCTGAATTTTACATTTGAAAGAAATTAGACAAAAATAAGAGTAGCATGCATTGAAATCAGAACATTCACATAGAAAGTCTTATAGTACTGCAGAGATTAAGCTTATCTTTTTTGCTCATAAAACTATTGATTTTGCAAACTGAGCAAGGAACACAAGAGGAAACAATATCAATGATTAAAAATGAATGTACTTATTTTATGCCGGAACCAGTTTCAACACTCAACATTGCATTCATCATGAAAATAGGAGGATATTATGAAAACACACATTGATTTAGATCTGCGATAAAAACACTTGCTTTTAAAAATATTTTATTAAAATACGATCTACATTCAAAATAAAGCACATAAATATGGATATCAATTCATTTTTTGGCAACTGATAAAATGTGTAATTGTCATACAAATTAAGTCTGTTGTGATAATACAGAATTATGCATTCAAAGTATTTCAAGTCAAAACATATTAAAGATAAAATAACATACATGGCATGATAAGAAACTTCAGAGTACATCAGTTATGTCAAGAATAAACAAATGACCACAAAGTTGACCCATTCATGTAGATTGTGGCTTGGAAAAGTCTGTAATTTCTTTGTATTTATATATTTGGGAAGTACAGAGAAATTAAAGTGTGAGAGCAGAATATACCATGAGACAGTGAAAGAGACAGGGTATTGTACTCACTGGTTTATTCTCCAAATGCCCCCAGTTGCTGTGGATGGATTACACAAAGCTGATAGCCAGAAATATAATACTAGTCTCTGAAGTGAGTGGAAGGAGCTCAAATACATAAGCTATCACCTGTTGCTTTCCCATGCACACATTAGCATGAAGCTGGAATTGAACATTGGACCAGAACATAGAGCCAGGCACTTTGATATTGGTTGCTATCATTCTCTTAAAAGATAGGCTAGAAGAGTATCCCTGAATATTATTGCACAAAAATGTTTCACTGCCAGGAAACTGGCTAAGTAAAGTGGCTAGATAATTATTAAAAGCTTCCTGTATATTATACTGAAATAATCTAAGCTAATATTATATTAGATCCCATATAGCCCTTTTTTATTAATTTATTATTTTTGACAATCTTGACATAATTAGGTTCAAGCACTACAGGAAGATGGGTAAGACAATTATTCCATATTGTTTCCTCAATATATCTGATGTAAAAGGAGATTTTAAGGGAGAAGCCCCACCCAGTCTCCCACCTACCCCAGGTCCCGGATGTGGGGCATGCTCTGAGGGTCTTGATATATAGCCCTTTTGTAATTACTGCCAAAAAGGGTCTACACGTGCTAATAAGGAAAATAACACTTATTAAGCCTCTATCATTTACCAGGAACTTGATTGCACACTTTAATTTTGTTTGATGACAATATAAGAAAGATCAACGATGATGGCTGTCTCACTTCAGGCATCATGCCCATTCTTGGTCGTTAAGAGTAAAATCATGATGCCATGATCTGTTGTTTTTTCGGTCTAGGACGTTCTTTGCCTGGGCCTTGCAAGGATGGCTCCTTCCTGTTCTTTTGATTGGCAGAAACAAAGTCACTGTCAGAATGATCTTTTCTGTCTACAGAAATCCACTCACAATCCTATCCCCATGCTAACCAAAGATGCCTCAGTATTTCTCAACATTCTCTGCTTTCTTTCTATGAAGCCCTTATAGAGACTTCTTAGTACTTTCTTCGTTTTCTGTTCCAACCATGGTAACAGTTGCAATCAACATCTGTCTTTCAAAGAGTTAAATAAACATCAAATAAATAAACAATAAAACCAATTCTTGTCATAGATCCACATATTCACTATTCCCTTATGATTATCATTTTCCAGAAAAAAAAATGTAAAGATTTTTCTTTGGCAATCTAAATCTAACAATGCTTGAAGTTCCAGACATAATCTTCTCAAATCTAAGCGATAAAAATATTAGTCAAAATTGCATCTATGTATACCTTATAGTTACATGTTTGGAACGAGTCTGTTCCGTTTAGGTAAACTAATTTTAAAATCCAAACTAATTCCTGGTTGTCTAAGCATGTAGTTTTCTCGTTAGTAGCACTGTAGAACAGCACAGTAAAATAAGACGTAATTGAATTACTGCTTAAGATGGAAAACATAAGGAACTAATTCCTTATAGGCATGCAAAAGGACATTAGTCACTAAATTATAATCTATTTGTTCTAAATGTCTAATCAAGAATGTAACTTTACATGGGCTAACTCAGTTATGAAGGCAGACAAGGCAATATTAAAAGATATTTCAATTCAAAGTTTTGTACCTGTGTCTGGATACATTCAGTTCTTTCAAGCAGGGTTTGTCCTTTCTTCAGTGTTATTTCTGTGTCATTGTGTGTTGGAGAACTGACATGCTCTAATTCAGGTACCACGGTATTATGTTTACTAGTTCTGAAACTCCTGTGGAATGGCTCTTTTGACATGGCCCATGGTGCTTTTTCTTTCTTATTACTGTCTGTAACAGGGAAATACTGTCTCATTATTTGAATCACAGGCTTCAATTCTTGAATGAGGAGAATCCCTGAAATGCTAAAGGCTCTCAGTATCACAATAGTGAGGCACATGTCTACAGTCTAATACAAGTAATACTATTTTTGCTAGATTATCTTTTGACATTTGGAATACTCAGTCTAGTACCCCTAACAGATCTATATGCTCAGTTAAATATATTTCTAGGATAATAAGATGAAAGCTACAATTTTTGCAGAATTTAATAGAATTTTTTATTATCAATTTTGAGTTCAAGCATAATCTTTCAGTGAGAGTTTGCTACAGTTTTTAAAGATTTGTTTATTTGACAGGTGTAATTATGCAGAGAGAAGGCACAGGAGAGAGAGGGAAAAAGAAAGAGAGCACTCAGAAATAAAAGCAAAACAATGCTTTTCCAGTATCCTGTTAGTTTTGGAACACTTGTTAATTGCTCTTATTTCAGTCTTTAGTGAGTTGCTTCCACATTTCTGTTTTCTAGCATAAGTGTGTACAGTCTAGCCTAAGCTCTTCCCTCTTACTTCCTCAAAGCTTGAATAAAGCTTATACCTTGAACTATCTCTCAGCTTATCAACTTTCTTAATTTCTCCATAATTAATCTTACTATCTGATCTTCACAATTCACCTTTTGGCTTATGTAATACTATCCTCTGAAGTAGCAATATTCCATATGATGCCAAATTATATACATTGAAGGTTGACCATACAGAAAGTATTTTATTTTCTTACTCTTCAGAGTAAATGCTTCATTTTTCCCCTTTACTTCCTAAGCCCTCTGCTTTTCTCATTATTTGTTTCTACTCTTTCACTTCTTTATTTATCCCCATTTTCTGACTTTGCACAGATTATACATTGTCTTTGAATGGAACTAGCCATTTACCCTATTCGCAGTGCTCGCCAATCAGTCCATTGCTGACACCTAATGAGATACACAGCTTATCACTGTGCAGTTCTCAATTGGTGACTATTGTTGGCTATTGTGATATATCACTGTCCATGTTTTACAGAAACATTCTGTCAAATGATTCTTACTTTTTAGTGGTGGATTTCTGCATCTCTCTCTTTTCTCTGCAGTTCCAGCTTGATCATCATTTTTCTGCAGAGGACTTTTAGAAATACTCTGTTGAAATTAAGGCACTAATGAGTTGCAGAGCGACTTCCTGGTCATGTTCTAGGCAAAAATCCAAATTTCATATTTCACAAGAATTAGACAAAAATAAGGGGAACATGTATTGAAATCGTAGTACTCTGGATATCAAGTTTATCTTTTTCTTCATAAAGCAATTGATTTTGCAAACTGAGCAAGGAAGTACAGAGGCAATAATATCACCGATAATAAATGAATGCATTTTTAGAATTAACCAACTTCAATACTCAAATCTATATCATATTTCTCAAGAGTAAGAGAATATCATAAAATCTTTGAAAGGACATTTGATTTTTAAAATATTTTATTAGAACAAAGGTCATATACCAAGCAATCACACAAGTATTGAGATCAAGGAGACTTTTCTATTTCTTACCATTTAAACATTAGTATTGCTTTTTTTTTCCTAAATGTAATCATTGGCATTGAGCTAGGTGTCATTACTTTTTCCAAGACTTTACAGCCAGTATGTTACAAGTCAGAATATTCGCATGTCATGACTTTAGAAGAGTCATTTATGATGGCCCTACATGGTAGCCTCTCAAGCATAAAAGCTCAGATATTTCCTGTATCCACAGACTTTACTGTATGGAAACTAATTCTTATTTTATATCTGTGTCTACTGCTAATATGGCTACTTAAAGATACTCAATATATTTTATTTTTAGGATGTCTTCTATTTATTAAAATACTCTAAATGGAAGTGTTTTTTTTTAAAGATTAACTTATTTTATTGGAAAGGAAGATCAGATTTACAGAAAGATCTAACATCCACTGGTTCACTACTCCTCATAGTAAAAAAAGTTGTGTGATAATTATATATATATATATATTTATTTAATTCTTATTCTTTTGAAAAGTAGAGAAAAGGAAGGAAGGATAAAGAGAGATTCATTACATGTTCTGGTTCAATCCCCAAAGACTCTGATAGCTACAGCTGCAGCAGGCTGAAGCCAGGGGCCAGCAACTCCGTCTGGGTCTCCCATGTGGGTAGCAGAACCAAGTACTTTGACCATCACCTGATGCTTTCACAGGTGCATTTGAAATGAACTGGATGAGAAGCAAAGGATCTGGGACTAGAGCCTGTGCTCTGATATGGGATTGCTTGTGTTGCAGGTGGTGGCTTAACCCACCACACTACAGCATCTTTACCATGTGTTGTTTTCTGATGTTCCAACTTATAAATAAAGGTACAGCCCAGATAGTGGCATTAGGTGTATCATGCAGATTTGCATAAATACATTGCTGCAGCAGGACAACAGTTAAACCATCAAGTACCACTACTTATATGATGAAAATATTTAGGAGGTAGGCTCTTGGTCTAGTGGCTAAGAAATCAGATGAGTTATATACATCTCACACGAGTTCTGGGATTCATGTCTTGGCTCTGCTCCTACTGCACACCCTGGGATGTGGTGGCTAGTGTCGCACAGAGTTTGTCCCCTTCCACCCACACAGGACACGTGTTTGAATCTCTGTCTCCCAGTTTTGGCATGGTCTAACCCTGACCTTGGCAAGCATATGGTGATGATTCAGTGAATGATTGCTTCTCTTGCTCCCCTTTTCTTTGCCTCTCTTTTCTCTGTTTCTGCAGACTCTCAAATGATAGTAAATTGAAAGGAAAAAATAAACCTGAAAATATTATAGAATTTAAAATAGAATTAAAAATTCTACATTGAAATGTCATTACATGAACATTTCTCTCTAATATTAAAAACCTTCAAAATTAATTTTTAGGAGTCATCTCATAGCATTTTGAATTGATATAATAGGACTAATTTGTTTAAGAAGTTATAAATTTGTATTATCCTATCATTCTAGAAGTATATATTCTCTTTATATGAACAAGGTCATATTTGAAATTATTGAAGCAAATGTTGGAATATTACACTGGTAATTATGTGATGAAAATAGTTACTAATAGGCATACACAATAGCGGCAAGAAAATTCAAATCCTGCCCTTCAAGGCATTTGCCTTAGTTGCCCAGATGCTAGAGAGGACACCTGCATGCAATACATTTCTAGGTCCATTCCTGGTTTCGTGTCCTGATTCATACAGGGACAGGTGATGGGTCAAACAGTTGCGTCCTTGCCATCCATGAGGGGTGTCTGCGTTGAGGTTCTGACTCCTGGTTTCAGGACGCGTTCTAGGCACTGTACACACAGTAAAGGACTAGAACATGGGGCTCTGCCTGTCTATACATCTGTATGTGTTTCACATCTCCCTCTAAAACAATTTTAAAACAAAAGGAAATCGTATATCCTTCTGTGTTCTAACATCGCTTCATGCCTATATTTTAAAATCACAAAAGATCAAAGGATATCACCTTAGAATCTGAAGATGATTCTACACTTTTTTCTTCTGCTCTTAAGGTAGACACTGCATCTATAAAATATAACCATAGATACAATAATGAGAACAAGTTAGTCTAGCTCACAAATATGCAAAGATATATCCAGTATTCATAATTCAATGAAATAAAATAGCAAGAAAAAAATTCAGTGGGTTGAAGCGGTTTCAGGATTTGGTCATATGAACAGAAAAAACAAATGAAAAACACCAAAAGGAAATGGATCTCACATTTATAGCTTTATATCTTACTTCTTGTGATAGCATTTAAACAGAAAAGTTTCAATATATACTCACTTGTGTAATTGCAAAATTTATCAGTACAATTTATTCCATCTTTATGTGCTTGTTCTTTTTTTGCAGTTTGAATGCCAGCAGTATCATTTTTATTCTTTACATCTGATGAAGTTGATGATTCTTTCTATAAAAAAAAAAAATCAGTTGTTTCATTACTCATTCTTTTATTTTTTTTCACTCACTTAATAAGGCAACATTGTTTGTGACAATCACATCATAGGTAAGGAAAAAAAAGAAAAATATCTACAGAAGACAAATTATGTATCATGTTCAACTAGGCATGAACAATAAGAAAATTAAATTCATAATAGAGAATTTCACCATTGTAAATAAATTGAAGTCTTCCACACCAGGTGCAATCAAATGATCCACATGTCCAAATTTGTTGCAAAGCCTTTAACAGAAAAAGATGTAACAGAAATGGGTAAAATATTTCCGTAAAAACATAGTAAAAGGTCAGCAATGCATATATCAAATGATGTTTTGTGATATATTTAAAGTTTCATTTTTGTTTTAAAAAAGATTGTCAATGTCTATTGCTGCTTCTACATTTCTCTAATGAAATGTTCCATGAAGATCATTTATTCCACAGGAACATATGAAGGCTAGTACGGTGGCAGAGCCTGAGAATAATTGGTTTACAAACTGTCCCTGAGGGTACAACTGAAAATCCAAAAATGGCTGACATAAATTTTATTATTTGAGTGGAACAAAAATAATCTAGAGTATTGCAGAAAAGGATTCAGTTCCTGCTTGATTTCCTGTCCTTGGTTTATAGACTATATTGTGTAATGCAAAACTGCAATTTTGGCCTTTCAGCAAGAAAATTTTGAGGAAGGCTCCTTTGCTTCTTTTTACCCTAAAACAATACAAGGAGTCCCACTATTTGAAATATTTTAGAGCTACAGGTACAAAAGGCAAAGCAAAAATATGTGTGTTGTAATTAGGAGTATGATTCTCAGAGATTAAAATTTTAACTCTAGAATTCAATAATTTTCCTCATATGAGGATTGCCTCATTCCAGTACACATAAACTGATAAACTCCTAAAAATCTTCATAGGCATTCAGATATCCGGAGTCACCACTAGAAAACCACAAGTCGTGATCATTGCATCTCTGTTTCTTTTTGTTTAAATATCTGCCTCCCATGGGGCCCCAACCCTAGATGTGTCTTCTCTAGGATTCAATGCAGCGATTCAGATTGGCTAGTAGTTTGGATATCACAAAAGCCCAAATTCTGTGTCGTTGTTCCAAAATTCTTATTTCCTAACAAATAGGTTAACATTAATATTAACGGTGGGAAGAACAGAATGATGGTATCTAGGTAGTGAACCTAGTGACCCCAGGAGATTGGTCCTGTGAAAATAGTTCTCCTGAGTGGGTTGAACAGGAAAGTTTTCTCTCTGTCTCCCTCTTTCAGATCACAATGGCATCTTCCCTGTACACCCATTCCACCCTCCACTGTCCTCTTCAGGCACCTAATAATACCACCTGGCCTGGGACTGTGAGCTTCAAAAGTGTAAGCCCAAATAAACTCTTTTCCATTATATTTTAGCCGCACTTGTGTATTTTAGTTAAAGCAATAAGAAGCAGACAAACCCAGACAGCCTCAAATCTTTACGTCTTAAACCTAAAAGGCACAAAATCTTGATATAAGGATGGGATCCAATACACAAGCACATCCACTTTGTTTCTCTCTAAAACATAAATAAATTTCATCCACAAAGCTACAGAAAAGTTAAATACTCAGTAATAAATTTAAAGAATGAACGAACGAATGAACGAACAATCTACAATGAAAATCATTGAGCACTGATTAAAGAAATCAACAAGGTCACACCACAAATTGGAAGAATATCACTAAAATGTTCATCGGATTGCAAACTCACTGCTAAGCCAGAGCTCCAGTTTCCTACATTCAAAGCATAGTGCTCCTGACAGGAGTATCATCGGGATCCTTCATGATAAAGGTTCTCCAGTCCCTGAGATCAAGAATCGGATGCTCATTGCCCCTATGTAGTCAAGCCTTCTGTTTGCTTTCTCACTGATGCAGTACTGACTCACTGTCATTTCCAAAACCACAAAAACCTTACTTCACACAAAGGATGAAATAGTTATAGTTCTCTTCACTGTCACTTTAATGTTCACTACCATTTTTGTGTCACCAACTCACATATTAAGTGGAAGATCAGCACAGCTCTCTTGAGTGTGCACAGCTATCTTGATAATATCTGTCAGTCCCTTTCTAATGAAGGGTGACTACGTTGGTTGCTTTATCCTGTGCAACAAGCATGTGGACTATTCTAAAATGACAGCTAATATCACTATTAAAGCTCCCATAAAGTTATTTAAATAGTGAGTTTAATATATTTTCCCAACTTAACATCATGCCTATATGGAATGGAGCATCTACATATTTTAACAAACAGACATTCTGGGAGGTGTATTTCATGTAAATTATATCTGGAATAAAGGAAAGGATCAGAAGAAATTCTCTTGTCAGAGATATTCCACAGGCGAAGTTATTAATTTAAAGACCTTAAATGGACAGTAACTCTGTTGCCATTACTTATCCTTTTTAGGCATGTATTTAAACAGGTAATTCTCCATTTCATCTCAACTTTGATATAAAATACTGTGTACCATAGCCAGCCATAGGTCAGATAAGTGAAAGCTATTATCAGTGTTGCAACTACTATGATGGTCATAATAGTGATTGTCATTTCAGAAAGCTATTCTGACAAACATGTGCCAAATACTGGATAGATTTTTATATATCCAAAATACTACATATATAATCTTCCCAAGAACACCTAGCAAGTGGGACATCTAAGAAGGAAACTCCATCATTTGTGTCTTTTCACTTAAACCTATCTTCATTAAATGAAAAGCTTATCTAAAGTTATCTTTCTTCTCTCTGTCCATATTAATTACAAATAAAGATAAGGTGCAGGCATTTAACCTAGCAATCAAGACACTGTTTTTGATGCCTTTTCCTCCTGTCAAAATACCTGGGTTTGATTCTCAGATCCAGATTCTCAATTCTCCTATCAATGTAGTAATGATGGTTCAAGCAATCGACTCCCTGTAACCCCTATAGGAGACTTGTGTTCTCAGCTACAAGTTTCAACATGGCCCAGCCTGGACTTTTGCAGGCTTTGGGCACTAAAACAGTAGACAGAAGCACTTTTTATTTCTCTCTCTTTCTCCTTCCCTCCCCCACTCTCTCTTCCTGCCTCTCTAATTTAAAACATGTCTTAAAAAAATAAAATTAAAATAGAAAATACACTGGAAATGGAAAAGAACATCTGGTGAAGAGATAGTATCTGGCGATGTTAGGTTAGGGATAGGGTTGATTTGTGACTCATGATAATACTTAATATAGAATTTTAAAAGAAAGTTAAAAATAATTTTTTAAAAAATTGTAATTTTGAATGATATTTACATAGTTGATTAGGGTGAGAAGGACTGAGAGTTAGGGAAAGTGGGGGACATTACTGTTTCCAAGTTTTCTTTTTCTTCTTATATCTGAGGGAAGAGGGGAGACAAAGGGAGAAGCTGCACCCAGGCTCCCAATTGCCCTAGTGTTTAGGGATGGGGAATGCCACCTAATGCTATCCCAGAGTCCCTGATGTGGGGCCTGCTCCAAGGATTCCACTTGAGTGGTTTCAGTAGTTTTGAGATGCTGCCAATCTCATTGCTCCAGTGCTCCAATGATGAGGAAATCCTTCCAAGGTCCATTGGTGGACATAGTCCACCTTGGAGTCTCCATTCACCCAGATATTTGCTGTGAATGCTTGCCTGGGGGTAAATATCCATGCATTCTGCCCTCTTTCCTCTGCTATGGTACCAGATGTCCTTTGTAGCCCCCTATGGGCTGCCATGTACTCCATGTGCATCTGAGCATACCATCCACTGCTCAGTCTTTTCCACTGAGGAGGCCCAGTTCTGATACATGCACTCCTGGTCAGCCCATAGATATTGTGATTCTCCCCATGGTTGGAGTTCTGAGTCCAGTGGTTCAGTTGTGGGGATGCCCAAAGAAATTTTGCCTGAGGTGAACCCAGATTTTACTTTCATGTGTACTTATCAGTATGGCTTCCAGCTGAGTCTGTCATCCACATCAGCCTATGCACATACCAATAGTTGCAGTTGCTGGGCGAGTTCTGTATCTAGATCCTTTTCTTTTGCAAACCAATGGATGCTGCGACCCAACCCATCCTACAGCCCACTACATACTTGGCCCTCGTGTACACCAACAGGAACTGTAGCCTAATTAGAGCGACCTCCAGTAATCCTTACCAGACCCATCCACAACCCTGGTTCCTGGGCTTGCTTGCCAGTATGTTCAGTAGACTGTTCCATTCTTTCCTATATCCCATTCAGTTCTTGTAACCAACAATGCGTGTTGTAACCTAATTCAGTCCAACCAACCACACTATCCAGCCCACACTCATGCTGGCAGATGCCACCACCTGCCTAGCCAGGCCTTCCCTCAGTCCTGGTTTTCACGCTCACCATAGGAGTTGTAGCCCATCAGAGCAGTACCTATGATTTCCCTATTGGACCACTCCTAATTCTGGATCTTGCACTCTTCAGGTGGTTCTGTAATGTAGCTTGACAGGATTTGCCCCCAAGTCCTAGCACTTGCCAGCTGATGCTGTGGTGAAGTCCAACCGGCCTGCACAAAATCCGGCTTGTGCATGTACCAGTGATACATTCGGTTAGACCTGCCTGGCTCTCCGACTAACCCACTTCATATACAAACCAATAGGTGTTATGGTCCTGCCCAGCCTGGTCTACCCCAAGTTCCAGTTCTCATACGCACCAGCAGTAGTAGAGGCCCAGCAGGGGAGTCTGCGCTGCCCTCCTACCAGGTTCACACCCCTGTTCCTGGGTATCATGAGTACTTGTGGGTGCTACGGCCCAGTTTGGCATGGCCCAATACCATCTTACCTCGGTATTTGCCAGTGGGTGCTGTAGACTGGCCTGGCATAGTCTGCCACTAGTTCCTGCTTATGCTGTGGGGTGCTGATGCCTAGCCCAGCCTGGTCTGCGCCCAATTCTAGCTCATGCTGGTGGGTGAGCAGCCTACTCCATCCCAGCCAGCCCCCAGTCCCAACCTTAATGTGAACTGGCTGGCGTTGTAGCCTGGCCCAGCCTGTCCTGCATCCCATCTTGGTCCTCAAATCTGCCAGTGGGTATTATGAACTGGCCCAACTTGACCTGCCCCCAGACCTGACCCGCATGTATGCTGGTGGGTATTATAACCTGGCCTGGTCTGTGCTGCTCCCTGTCTTCGTTTTTGTGTTCACCTGTAGGGACTGCATCCTGACAGAATAATTTCCTGAGCTCTTTTATCAGGTCTCCTCCTGTGGCAACTCTTGCATACA